CCCCAAAACCCCAAAACCCCAAAACCCCAAAACCCCAAAACCCCTCATAACCTAAAAATTCTTGAAAGCGAAATTTGTTTGGATAAGCATATTATTCTTCAGAAGGTTTGTCATCTAGCTCTTTCAAAATAATGTATCTTTTCCCATCAATTTCAATCACATTATTTCCTTGGTGGCTTACCTCTGAAGCTGATATTTTTTGAACTCTTTCCTCAATGTCCTCTGATAGCTGTTTCGATAAAATTTCAAGTTGTTTTGAGTTTTGTTTTCCAGAATAAGTTTTACTCAAGGAATTGTCTCTGAGCAACTCCTCCATTCTCTGGAGCTCAGCTCCTTTAGCTTCAAAGTTTTTATCCATCTTATTTCCAAGGCGCCTCACTTTTAGCTTTGATAGTGACTACTGTTCTACCTATTTGGAAAGTCTTGTTGTTCTGCTCTGATAATTTCACAGATTCACTAATCAACATTAGAGTTCCAAATTTGGATTTCAAATCAGTGAGTACGAAATTGCCATCTTTGTATTCCAATGATGCATGTTTTCTTGATACTGATATATCGTTGATTCTTAGCTCAGAATCATGCCCTCTACCTAGAGAGAATGAGTTCTGATCACTATTGATGCAGACCACGTGGATGGTTCTTGAAGAGTTCTTTTCAGAGCTCAGACTTTCAAGAATGATGTATGGGGTATCTCCATCTTCCGGTCGATTTAAATCCACTAAGAACCACCTCTTTTCATCTAATAAGAAAGTATATGGATATGGAGTTTTTCATAACTCACATTCAAAATTTTTCCAATTTAGGGTTCAGTGGCTAGATCCTTCCTTTTTAGTAACTTTTGTTTGAAGCCACATCTTAACACACTGGAAATGTATAAATCTGATGGAGCCAGCTCATTTTCAAGCTCCGATTAGCGGATTATCATCAGTTTGATCATTAGTCCAGCAAAATCTACAGTTTGTATCTGACTCATGGCACCTGTCAACCAAATAATCTTCATCAAAGCCTGGGTGAGGGCTCTGGTCGTTATCAAGGTCTTCAAAGTATTCAGTCTCTGTTTTGAATTCTTTGACTCTGAACTTCATTCTTCCTAACTTAATAATATCATGCCTCTTAATAACGTAGCCTTCTTTTAGTGATCTAATAACAACCCAGAGTCGGTCGTTTGGAATATTATCGTTTTGTGGTACAATTGTATAAACACCTCCTCTTTTACTGAGCCTGAAGAGGCAAGTTTCATCTTCGTCAGTTTTGGCTGAATTCACAATGTTCTCATTGAATATAACTGAATCTCTTGTTCTAACAATCTCTCCTTCTTTTGTGAGCTTATTTTTCAAATCTGCTAATGCGTCTTGACTCATAGTCATAGAGCCCATGGGACTCTCTGTCCCAAGTCATAGCTTTGATAAGCACACTAGAAGGAGTTAGAAAGGCAGTCTTACATCTGATCGTCTGAACCGGCTGAGTTACGCCTCTTTGGCTCTAACCTCTTCCCTTCTTCTGAAATTTGTTTCCTTTAGAATAAAATTAGATTTGTAAAAATTATATTCTTTTCCATGTGTACTAAGAAATTTCAAGACTTCTCTCTAAAGGAAGCCTCATCGAGTGCCAAAAATGTTAATGTCTGTTGAAAAGAGGAGAGTTTTAGTTTACCTATCTCTGTTCTCCATAATTTTTATTAACTATATGAAATATATTAAAATTCCCACGCTTATTGGGGTTTTGGGGTTTTGGGGTTTTGGGGTTTTGGGG